GCAATACACGCAGCAGATGGAAGAATTTTATAACCGCATTCCCGACATTACCGAGGGTGAAAAGGTTCATTAATATATGGGGGGGGGAACCTTCGCGGAGGCGACGAGAGCTTTTTTGGGCGGAGCACTCCCGTAATCCTCCGTAACTCGGCCGCCCACTCCCGTAACTCCCCCGCCCGATTACGGAGCGACAATATCTATAAATCACTACGGATCGCCTCCGCTCTAATTCGTCCACGTCGGAGCCACGGAGGCCGTCAGGGAACCCGGCGCGACCCTAGTGCGGAATGCTTCGGCTGGGATTTGTCCACGACGGATCCACGTAACCCACCGCGGAATCGTGCGCAAACCCGAAAACGCTCGACATGAACACGTGGTGAGTTCCCAACGGAAAAGCGCTCGCGCGAAAACTTTTGCGCGTTTCGAAGGGCCACTTCGGAAACAACCTAGGCGGTACAAAACCCAGGACCACCTGGATGCGTGCCATCTGTCCCTCTGGCGCGCAGCGATCATCGAGCTTCCTGGGGACTCGACACCTGGCGAGCATGGTCACAGGCGCGCTTCGGATTCGTGGTCAGTAATATGTCGCCACCTGTCGGAAGTCGCCATGGGCGTGTTACACCATCAGCGAAAATCGTGAGCTCTCGCGAGAACCCCGCGAGATCACTGCTTCTCACATAGCTGGTTATTTTTTTGTTGGTGCCCTCCTCATCTATCGCGCGCAACTCATGCAGAGCTTTGATCCTTGCACGAAACGTATCTTCGCCCGCAAATCAACACGTGGCATCATGCAGCTTGTGTCGGCTGTAAACGGCGCGATCACCTGGTTTGGCGCTGTGCATGTTGTTTTTTCAACGTGAAAACAGGAACCACGAAACATGCACGCAGGTGCCTCTCATTTGTCGGTCAGCCCGGAAACAAAGGTCACGGACACGCAACCTGCCCAGGGTTTGGTAAGCACACAATGGGAGGGTATACCCATTCCGTTTGTTCATTTCGAGGTTCCACATTTTTCATTGTAGCCGTTCGCTTCGTGTCTAGGCTTCCCGCACTTAGACTGATATGCTACCCTGCCTCAAGTACTTAGTCGTTTCATCCTCATGGCGCGAGCTTCCGCACTTAGACGATTTATCACCGACCCACTCCCTCATATTTGCGCAGGCGTTGCTTTCGTGTCACATGCCTTCCGCGAAAATGAACAGCTTTCGAAGTGTACGAACGACACTGGCCAACGCACGAACACCAATCCGAGTTTCGTTCCCGTCCTGCAGCAGCCATTTGGTGGTAATCAGGTAGGGACGAGCGCGAATGGAGTCACTTGTATTTTCGAGCACGTGGCAGCAGCCGCTTTAAATAGATCACGTATCCCACAACACCACGTGGGGTACCCGTGGGGAATGCCATTAGGGTTACGACGACCCAACGACCCAGTGTTTAGGACTCCCAATTGGGCACCAAATCCTCCACCTCAAACTTTCTCGTCCGCAAACAATCCCGTCCCACCAGTACCACCGCAATATGTCCCCCTTCAACCCCGTTTCGTACCCCCGCAAACGTCTGGAGCTGGAGTTTTCCGCGGACCAGTGTATAGCGTACCTGTTTCAATCGCGCGCGAAGCAGCTCAACCACCATCTCAGACACGACCTGCAAACACGAATGCTGTGCCATCACCCCAGACACGGACCGCGAACACCAATGTTGGGGCTCCATCGAGTTCAGCAACCCCAGAAGGTGCAGCCACGGGCGTGGATAGAGCCGCGGATGAGGACGAACCCCAAGAATTCCCCGATCTCGAAGTACCCGTCGATGAGGCTACAGAGCAAGAAGCGGCTGAGGTGCGTCGGGCAATCGACGAGGACGACGAATTGGCCAGGGAGGAGGCCGGTGAAACCCTATCCCCTGCTGCGCAAAAAAGAATAGGCGCCACGATTGCGAACTGGCACGCCCTTCCGGCAGGGTCCGAAATGAAGGACAGAATCGCGTTCGCGCGCCAGATTCTCGGGCTTCTAGAAGAGTCGACGCAAAAACAGTATTTTTCGTGGATTTCCAAATTCAAGCGTTGGTGGTACAACGAGGTCGCGTCCCTCCCGCCAGGAAACTATCCACCCGACGCGAAAATGGAACACGATGACGAAGTGGGCGTGCTGGTCGGGAAGAACAGAGGGATCCGTTGGCATCTGGAGCCAAAAGAGGACTGCTGGCTGCACGGTCCGCAAATCACACCTTGGCGTTTGAAAATGTACATCACCTACTGCACGACTGAAAAGAAGGAGCAGGCAGAACTGCTCGCGAGCCTCAACCCGTCGAGGCCCGTTCGGAAACGGGTCGCTTGCACTGTCGGAATGGTGATGGGGCGTTTTCGCGCTTTGAAGACCCAATGCCGGGCCGAGAGTGTGCTCTTCGAGTGTGAAGACCTTGCTGCAAACGTCGAGCGAGTCCGCGTTCTTGTCGGACTAATGCTTCGAAACCAGTTCAAGCGCTTCAAGACATGAGTATTGACACACTTACCTAACCGCTATTCATGTTCGTGCATGCACGCGGAAATTCATTAACGCAAAAACTATCTGCTTTGCTCCGCAGGGATTACGTCGACCGCCATCGTGGAACGAACGCGGACGTCTATACGCTGGACCAGTTTAAGCTCATGATGCAGAAAACGTGGCCCGAAGAGGCTGTCAAGTGTTTCGTGCCATTCGCGAGAGAACCGTCGAACCTACTCCACCGAGCACTAAGCGCAAAGGCGATGTTACTTCTGAGCCATCACACCCTTGCACGCGCAGGGACCATTCGTGGAATTCAGCTCCCAGACCTTATATTTGGCAGAATGGGGAGTCTTACGGACTTGGATCCGGTAGGGGATGCGGTTCACCTAACAGTTGCGACGCGGAGCGGGAAAACGAACAAGAATTTCGGCCTACACAAGTATGTCGCGGCAAGGAACATCGACTTCATGTGCTGCCCGGTCGGCGAGGTTTTCAAACTTCTGCATTGGTACACGGACCAAGTACCCCTGTATTACAGGGGCGGTCGTAGCTTGATCCCGCCGCTCGATTTTTGTGAGCCAAAAAAGTGGTACGACACGTACCTATTCTGGCCGCACAGCAAAGGGTACAGTTCCGAGGTTCCACACGCGACGTACGCAGACTGGGTTTTATACGGCTACGAAAAGGCGAAGGTCACAATTGGCAAGGTCACGCATGCACCGCGAGCCAGCAATGCACACATCCTGTCAATGGCTGGTGTCACGGACAAAGAGATCGCCAGGGCAGGCAACTGGACCCATGACGCTCTGACTTTGCACTATTTGCCAGGAATCGCGCGAGTCGCGGTGCTTGCATCTGCAGGCTTTTCGGGCGAGGCTGGTGATTATCACGTCGGCCGTTCGAAGGTCAAACCGTGGAGACACGTGCAGGACCTCATCAACGAGCACATTTTTCCTTAGGTGGAACTGCAACTCTGCCCGAAAAAATGTCAATCGCGTATGCCAGCTAGGTTTTCGTGTGACATTTGTGTGGGGTCCACTTCTGTACCTTTTCGAGCCCGTGCTAACTCGTGCAGGCGAAAGCGTACAACGACAGGCAAGAGCGAGGCAAGAAGGACACGGCGGCCATACATTTTCTGGAGGCATTGAAGGAATTTGGCAGACGTATAGTTGCCGAAGATCTAGCGATGCTGTTCGTGCACATGCCGGATCATCCGTACGTCCAAGTGTCACCACTATTCAAAGACCCACAATTCAGGATGTGGGCCCGGCTGGTGGCCTGGAGGGACGCGGTTGGCATCGCGCTGAGAAACACTCCAACCAAGCTGTCCGTACAAGTAAGAGAATTTCCGCTTCAATGCACGAAAATAGTACCGTGAACAGTCTTTCACGAACCATTCTAACGAATTTCAACCGCTGCAGGATGTCTCACTCTGGTTCCACGCGCAACATCTATGCACACAACTCAAAGCCGAGCTTGCGATGGAGAAGGAGGGGCGCGCAATGGATATTATGGAGAAGAAGGTGGCTCAAGACGAAGCTGCGGCGCTGCGGAAGACGGTGGCAGAGCAACAAGCCACGATCGAGGAGTTGCGTCGGCAATTGGCTGGACTTTCCACGGAGAGTGTCCGCACGGACAATCAGTCCGTTCGCACGGACAAGCAGCCCGTCCGCACGGACAAAGAGCCGCCACCGCGAAATCTTGACTCGGCTGAAGAAGAGTTCAAGGACCACGCGCTCGATCCGTGGGTCAATTCGGAAACGGTCCCTGAATTGTGGCAGTTATTCAACACGCGTTTTGGGAATCCTGGAATGTCCCTGCGTGAAGAAACTGCTGCCGTTGGCTTTGGAGCGAAATTCATGCTGCCCTCGAACGAGAGAACTGCGGTCTCGCGCGCAAAAAGGGTGATGCAAGCTGTGTGTGATTACGCGCGAAGGCCCGGAATTGCGGGTATTGACGGAGCCGTGCAGAAGCTGGAGCGAGTCAGAGGTCGGATTGGCATGTCGTCGTTGCGGGACGGGCTCACAGTCTTATCGGCAAAGCCAAACGCTGGCGTGTTTTCGGACTTGCGTCGCAACACGACCGTCTGCGCGAACGTAAAAGTGGCTATCACGCTTGTGCCAGAGGGCTTGGAAACCGAAGACTGGGCACGAACCAAGTATTCCAAGAGTTGGGATGCATGGGTAGAATTCAATGACCCAAAAAGGAAACGTGCGCGTGTTGAGTGAAATGTTTCCGTGCATGTATGATTGAGCAGTAAACTTGTTACATTGCGTGAAAACCTTATTGTCGTTCCCACGTTGTGTAATACGTTGTTTAGGCCTTTACTAGTTATCATTCCGAAAAAGTTGTCACGAAACCTACAGCCAATCTGAAAATCTTATCACGAATCCTAGAGGTTCAAAGATCGCAGGGTAGTCACAACAGCACGAAAACAAGACCATTTACAACAAAGTTTAAACGGCAAACGAAAAAAAACCTTCACTGTCGAAAACAGGCACACCAATGTCAAAATCTTTAGTCATCCAGCACCTTGACAACTTCCTCCGCGCCCCCTTCACGCACGGGAACGGGTGATGCCCGTTTCAGGCGTGGACGACCTGCTTCGCGGTTCTTGGCCTTCATGCGCTCCGTGCTGCAAAGCACACACAGCCCCAGCTGTGTCATCCGAGCCTTCGCCCCTGGCTCGTGGTTCCAGGTAGCAACGACATCCACCATTTCGGAAATGATCGTCTTCAGGTTCGCATCCGGGCCCTTCTCGAAGAAGTTGTTCACCCGCTGCTCTATGTCTTCGCCCGTAGGAGGGAGGGTGGTTGTCTTCGCGCGTGTCTTAAGTGCGGCCAATAAGCGCACCCACGCCACCTCGCATCCCGCCACGGTAACTTCGATCGCCCCAGCCAGCTTCGCCGCAGCCTTACCCTCTTCCACGGCCTGTGCTGAGTCCCCACCAGCCGGACCTTTGCACAACAACCACATGGCTGCACAGGCGAAGGCTACGGCTCCAGCGATCGGCCCACCACCACCTTTCACGCGCCCTGATGGCTCATCCTCCGCGACCTCCAATCCAGCCGTGGCAGAGCACGCGGTCTCGTCCTGAGGAGCGCGCGCACCATCTTTAAGATCGCGAAACCGCTTGAACAGGCTCCGCATCCTATAATCACACAAACCCAATTCGCGTTAACCGGACGTTTTTGCAACCGCTAAACAAACGCGTACAAAGTTGGATCACACACCTTTTCGCGCTGTTGGTGAGGCCGCGAAGATAAAGGGTTGCGAACAAACCCTCGTGCATCACACGAGCCACATCCAGATCTGGGGTCCATTCCGCCTCTTCGTCGGGAGTCAACACCATCTTGTCCGATTTTACGGTTTTGTACCAGACCGTAAGCGCGACAGCACAGAGAAACCGTCCCGTCTCCTTCTGTTCGTGATTCCCAAGATAGCGACGGACACCAGCGTGATGGAGCTCTAAAATCCATGCCGACCCGTTTGAATTCAGGCGAAGTCCAACACACAAATCACCTTTCGCGGCCTTCTCCTTCTCCTTGCCTTTCGTGCCACTTTTGGTTGCACCCTTTTCAGCCCCCAGAAGCGCCATGTATTTTTCGAACGCATTATTTCCTCCTTCATCGTCCGGAACCGCGTCCCTTTTCGTGGTCGCATCTCCTTTCCCACCCCCGTCACCTTTCGCGGCATCGTCCCCTTTTGCAGCCGCGTCCCCTTTCGCAGCCGCGTTCCCTTTTGCGGCCGCATCCCCTTTCACAGCCGCGGCCCCTGTCGCGGTCGCGTCCGCCGCAGCCATTTCCTCCCCTCCCGAAACGTCTAGAAGTGAAGACGCGCGACCCAAAGCAGAAGGAAGAGCTGTGATAGCGAACGGCATAACGTCTGATGATGGAACCTTCTGCTTCTTCATCACGGGAGGGGAGGGGGGCGGATTCGAAAGCGCGGGTCCAAAACTTGGTCCGGCTGCGAAACTTGGCCCGACTACGAAACTCGGTCCGCCTGCGAAACAGGGTCCGCCTGCGAAACTGGGTCCACCTGCGAAAGTCCCATGTTGCTCAGCCGAATGGCGTGCGCCACCATAGAGTGCTAGCGCAGTAAGAGCTCCGCGCTCGGCTGCGGCTCCAGCCCCACGAATTTCGCCCAAACCTCCTGCCGCGTCTTTTCAGTCACCTCCGCGATTACGGAGGCGAAGGACACCTTCAGGCCGCCCTCAGTTTCCTCCAGACGGCGCATCACTCTCTCGGCTGACTCTCGCTGCGCGGACGCGGACGCATGTTCCTTCCTCAACTCCTTCAAGCAATCCGCGGTCTCGTTGCAAAAACGCTGCTCCAGGTCATCGAGCCTCTTTGCGGATTGAAGCGACTTCCCCCACAGGGATTTCATCTTGTCCGTGAGTTCGTCGAGCTCGTCGGACAATTCACGAACACGTTTTCGCTGGTTCGTGACGTGCGTGTTTGTCGATCTCAGCTGCTCGCGCGTTTCTGCAATCGTGGCATCGGGTCGAAGAACCTCCCGCGCGAGCGACTGGACCGGCCACGCCACCAGCTCGTCGAACGAACGAGGAGCCTCTATCGCAGTTGGAGTTGCAACGCGGGAAGGGCCGGCGACAACGGGAGCAGGTTCCGCCACCTTTTCCGCCTCTTCACAACCACCCGAAGCGGCCTCAGCCCCCACGACAGGACCACCGCCGGCTGGGCCGGCGACGACATTATCCGCGACGGCCGCGGCGTCACTTCCGCTCCCGCCACCCTCTCGCTCGCTTCCCTCCACGCGAGCCCTCCCATGAGATCCGTGTTCGGAGCCCGAAACGTTACCACGGCCTTTGCCAGATTCGAGACCACGCAACTCAAGCGCGAGATCCTGAGCGTGCTTCAGCACTTTCTCGCGTATGAACTTCAAGTTCTTCGGTTTCGTGGCCCTAATCGGAGCCTTCGGGTCTGACGAATTCACAAAGCATGCGATAAAACCCGTACACTGCGCGAACACCAGTCACTCCCTTCGTGTCCTCGATGGAAGACAGATCCTGCGAACGGAAACAACACGGATCAGTATGGCAGGCAATTTTTACGATAAACCGCCTCTTTGAAACAACAACCACGTACCATCGGCACTCGGGTCAAAGCTCTGAAGCGTGGCTCGGCGACTTAGGAAAACTTAGCTGGCCCGAAAGCTTGAGCCATCCCGCGCAGGTAAACTCCAAACCAACTGTCAACGCGAAAAACGCGAGTCATTAAAGCATCAAAACACAAAGCGGAAGTAATGCCGAAAAAAGAATCGCGCTCACTCAATAGCGATCTTTGCGTCCTTTGCGTGCGGATCTGGACCCACGGAAGGGTCAATGTGAAGAATTCGCGTGCGACAAACTTCACCATCTGGGCGTTCGAGATCTCCCGGATGCAAAATGAGCAGGATGCTGCACTTCGGTTCCTCCTCCTCGAATCTGAAAAGCAAACACAATTAACGGCCACTTTTCTCAACGCATCGTTGTACCACCCGAAAACGGTACGCGAAAATCAATCGTGACTTACTTGGAGCAAAACGGGAAAACGAGCATCTCGTTCAGCATCATGTCCACATCAACCGTCGAAGCCTCAATCAACTTTCGCAATTCGGCAGCCGGGAAAATTCGCGACTTTCGCGCGCGGTCCCCTCCATGCTTTTCCAGTATGGAGCTGAAGAGGGAAGGTTGGGACAAGGAGATGAGAGTCACATAACCAATACAGCCATCTTAGTACCGCGAAACGCGAAAATGACATCACGAAACACATACATGCACGCGAAATCGAGGCAGGGGTTCGTGAACTCGGTGTCGTCGTCTAGGAGGCACTTCTTGTCCTCAGCCTGTAGCGTCGCGTACGTGCCCCCGCCCTCAATCGTGACGTCAAACATTTGGAGGGACTCCATCGGGTCCAGAAGGTCGCGCAGTTCACGGGTCATCCTGGGCATTCGAAGTCCACGCACAGGCTACATGAGCAAACACGAACGTCAGTGCAGGCGGAAACACAACAAGGGGGCATGCGAAAATGCAGCAATAACAAAACGCGTGATCGTGCACGAAAAGTATTCGAGCGGGTGATTACACATCAAGAATATCTAGGCGTGATCGTGTCCGGACAGTATCCGTGCGGACGAAAACACGTTAGGAAAAAAGAGTGCGATCGTGCACGGAAATTATTCGTGCGCGAGTGCGCAAAACCACCACCACGAAATTCCACCGCAAACAAATCCCACCGCAAACCCACCTGAGACAACCCTAAAGTGACACACAACCCCAAGCTCACCTCCCACAACTCCCCCAGACTCACCTCCCACAAGTCGATCTGGGCGCTGAAGCGATGGAATGTTGAGAGAGGAACAACAACAAGATGACAAAGCGAGAATGAAAAGGCGAAAATGAGAGTCAAGCACCAGGGCTCTGGTTAGGATTCTGGGTGCTCTTCCATGTAAGGCCACTGTCTCTAAACTACTTTTTCTGTCAGTGTATGCTACAGAATACACTTTTTCTGGTAAGGGTTGGGGGCTAGTTTACTTTTCCTTATCAGTGTGATTGTAAGAATCAGTTTTTCCCTTCAAAAACTACAAGTACTAAACTACATTCCTAGGGTGTTATACTGTACCTACGTATGTAACCTAACCCTACAACAACTACCTACCATACATGCCTACATAACATCATGAACAAAAACTCCAGCCGGGCGGCGCTTCTTGAGAGCATGAAAGAGTGCCGCAACGTTCGTCCAGTTCACATCTGCAGATGGGAGAAGCGCACAAGTCATCAAATCCCCCAATCGTGCATCTCCTAAACTGGTACGTGTACTACTCTTGATGCGGTTTTGTCGGCTGAAACCGCGCTCATACTCAATAGTGCTCAACGGGAGCACTGCCACCGCCTGCCACAAACGGACCATGTTCGGGTATGCTCCCCCATAATCCGTTGACTGCAGCATCAGGGTCAGCGATTTGTAGAAGTTCAACGCCCCGTGGTTGTTTTCCATGGTGTGCAGGAACAGTACCAGCTCCCTCTCGCACTCCTTGAACTGCACACCTGTTGGGGGGTGAGAACACAGAAACGAACCTGTAAATGAATACGACAAATTCTGAAAGCACAATGGACACGCACACCACAAAATCATGCAACTGTACCTGGAAGCGCGTGGCGAAACATTTTATCGAGCTGCCCAAGCCACTCTCGACACTTGCGCATGCGCTAACTCTTCTCATCCGGATACATGTTTGGACGGAAGATTTTGGCGCCGTTCAAATGTTCCAGATCCTCCAGCCGGTACTCCAGGCGTCCTTTCACCTCACGTGCGTAGTCCTGGCAGAGCTTCTTGCACGAGTAGTAGTCGTGGCCAGTTTTTTTACCTTTGATCGGGCGCTCGTGCAGCACGAACACGTGTTCAGCCGGATCACCATTCGGGTCCACACCCGCCACCTTTACCTCCCGATGCTGCGGATCTGCGTGCTTCTTCAGGAACTCGTTCAGCAGGGGGGATTGTCCGTTGCCAAATGAATCCTTGCAGTCTAGGTAACGGACTTCGATTGTGCGACACGCAAGGGAAACTTCTCTTGCGACGACTGTAATGTCCACCTGCTAGGGTTTAGGAGACACAAGACAATGTTAATCGTTGGGTTTTTTTGCGACGTAACCGATACCGCCTGCAAAATCTAAACCTTACCTGAAGCTTCTGGAATTTGGCGTTCAACTCGTTCAGGATCGCCAGCAAATCTGCAAGGAAGTAGAAGAGAAAATGAAACTTGAAAGATGTGCAGGTCTCGTGCAGCAAGAGCACAGTCGCCGGAAGCACCTTCGCGAACCTCTTCACCGCCTCTCCCCGTGATAGCCAACGCACGTCATGAATGCCCTGCAGCTCGAGGTTCGTCTCGCAGACAACTTCTTGAAGTTGGCGGAAACGCCTGTGGTGGTTGGAGCTCTGCGACAACATCGTCGCCACCGCCCGAACTCCCTTGTCAACGATTTCCAAGTCCGTCAGCTTGGTCGCAGCATCTTTGGCGGCGAGCGCCTTGCTGCGAAAGGAAACATTCATGTTAGCGAGGTCAGTAGTAAGGGAGTTAAATGATGCATTAAACATTACACATGACATTCAACTTACAGATGCATTTTCCTACCGATGGGCTATGCAGTGACATGAGACGAGGTAGGGGTTCTTCGCGCGGAGACGAGCCACAAGGCCAGCGTGCTCCCCGGTCATGACCGAAGCACCGTCAGTGCTATCCCGACGATTTTCGAGAAGTCGAGGCCGATCGCGTGCAGATGCGTAAGCAGCACGTCTTGGAGACTTGCAGCATCTGCTTTCTCGACCGTCAGCAGGGAGAGAAACTCCGTCACGACCTGCTCGCATTTCAAGTACGTGACGTACACGATAAGGTGCTTCCCGCGCACCCTATCGGTACTCTCATCCAGAGCGATGCCGATGTAGGGACTCTGGGCGATGTGGTGCAGTTGCTCTTGACGTAGATACTTGGACGCGGCTTCGACCAACTCGCCGAAGACATACCTGCATGTACACGGTGCATATGTCAGAACGCACACGAGTGTGAAGAAACATAGCACTGTATAAAAACATGACTTCGAGATTCTCACTCTGAGTAGTAGCTTCCACGCTGATCAACCGGAAGGTTCGGGCAACCCATCTCCAGCATGAACTTGATGAAACCGATGTAGGAAGAGATTGGTGCCTCGGATTGGCACGTGAAAACCGCCGTCTTTAACGCCGCGATAAGGTGAAGTGTCTTCTTTTCCAGTCCCTCGTACTCGTCCAGCATCGCTTGGCGCAACTTCCGGCTCTCCGTCGCCTTCTTAGCCCCATGCGCGTCAAGATGTGCGGTAGACCGTTCATGCGTACGAATGCTCTGCTTCTGCATGTCGCGTCCACCAGCACCGCCCTTGCCATATGTTGTATTTGCATTCTCGGCGCCAAACTCCATGCAAGTGCTGCATTTTAAAATAGGAAACCCATCGTCAGCGCGAGACAACACAAGCCACGTGAATAATCCTTGCCAGGAGTTTGTGTAGCGGCGGTGTGCCTTGGTAAACGCGACCTCATGATCTTTTTCAGAGGTCGTGAGATCTTCCTCCTCTTCGTTATCTCCCTCGTTGTCAACCACCTCGTCGACTAGACTGGGCTCACGTGTAAATCTGAGCTTCCACTGACGCCATTTCTACGGCACGGGACTGGCGCGTGGCTTGCGCTTTGTGCCACTCGACTCCTGCCCAGGCTCCGTGGGTTCTTGGGATGGGCCGGCAGCGGCAGGTTCTGGGGTCGTAGCATTGGAACCAGTAGTGGGTAGGGAGGGCGGATCTGCCCGCGTCTGGACAGACTCGGTAACGGGAACCGCAACAGGCCTCAGAAAGCTGAGACCTGTTCTCGGGGGAGAGACGGGACGTGTCTTGCCAGCTTCGTCGTCGTCGTTACAAAGAGCGTCAGTAGCCATGGATTGGAAAACGGGATGTGGCTAGCTAGCTAGCCACTCAGACGGGAGCTGCGTGGTGGTGAGAAAGTGGCTGGGCTTATAGAAAAGACTGCTTGGCTGCAGTCTGCAGAGCGTTGCTGTGAGAGCTTCCCGATGGGGTGTCCTATCCAGGGAGGGTGTGTGATGGATGGGAGGGGGAATCTGGAAGGTTCGCTGTGGAGGGGAGTGCGTGCGGGCGCCGCGCTGTGCTGTGCTATGCAGAAGGTGGGCAGGTGATGGGACGCGATGATGTCATGGACGTGGTATAATCACTTTTCCTGCCACTCTGCACGGCTGCGCCGTGTCCTGGCGGTCCGGGCCGTCAAGGCGACCCGCACTGTCGTGATTGTGAAAGTTAGCCGCTAATTGCGGCAAGATTTTCGCCGACTGTTGATGTGCTGGACCCCCCCCGAAATTCGTCAGTGTCAGATCCGTTTCGAGTCTTTCACGGCAGTCCGGTTACACAGACCACTCTGAAATATCAGCCCATTGTGAAACATAGCTTTTTCAGAAAAGGGTCCACCAACAAACAACTCTGAAAAAAAAGGCAAAGGAAGACACCCCAGCCTTATAGTAAGGGTTGTAAGGGTGATTCACCCTGCTAACCAGAGGCCTGTCAAGCACCCCCCTTCGACCTATTTAGGCCCACGGCCCATCCCAGACCACCGCCCGAACTAGCCTCCGTGCTTGCTTCGGAACAACAAATGAGCAGTGGTGAGTCGTCGCCGTCCCTCGCACCCATGCATTTCACCAACGTGCGCGAAGGCCACAGGCTCGGTTTAGAGTGCTTCGCTGACCGAGCCAGGCCCGCTTGAATTTTGGTGGGGGGCGGCTCCATATTTTCATACCCAGTTGGATTGGACCCTTTAAACGGTTGACGCCGAGCGCCTGCATTTTTGCGTGTACATTGTTGGTTTCGACATACGGAAAGGTTTCCGCGAGCACCAACATTTGGTCGCCCGACGGGTAACCCGACGTGGTTCGCGCGATCGAGCCCTGGTTCCGAGCCTGCTCGGAGGCGAATCCAATGGTCCCCACTCGCCGCGTCAGCGTGGCCCGGGCTGCGTCAGAGTGGCCCGGGCTGCGTCAGAGTGGCTCGGGCTGGCGTGGGATTGGGGATCATCGGGAACGCCCCGTCGAGTGTCCCCGGCTCGGGGCCAAGGGTCGGCCGCCCAATCCCGTCGCAGGGATGGGCGGCCGAGTGCCCAGCCCTTGGTTCGTCGCGTTGCTGGCGTGCCCCGCGTGAGGACACCGTAACCCGGGGTCCATTACGGGGCCCTGGTTACGGGGCCTCGCGTGCCATTACGGACCGTTTTTCCTCAGTCCTACATCGCTCGGCTGAAAAACGACATTCGTCGCTATGTTGCAGCAGCGAATTGCAGCAACTACATCTAATACATATGTACAGTAAAAATTTTCCGCGGAACCGCGCGCGTGAAATAGGCGAGGGGACGGATTCGGGCGGGAAAGGCGGACACGCGTCCGCCAGTGAGCGAGGGAGGCTGCATGCCGCGAGGGATTCCCAAGGGACCCTCGCTGAGGAAAACTTTTCCCTCGCCCCGACGGACCTAGGGAATACCTACGGGTTACCGAACGGATTACTGGCCGTTGAAATCCCGCGGAAACCCAAGGGGAAACCAAGTTCCCCCGTCGCAAGCCACGTGTCTACGTCACAGGCGTCGTAATATACACGCGGCAAGGAAACAAAGGATAACGAATTCAACACGAAACTTAACGAGAGCTCGCGAGCGTAACATCCAAGACGTCTGTCGCACACGAACAAGAACCCACGAAAGGGAATATCCGTGTCGTGTGTGGCAAAGCGCGAAAACACGTGCGGCAGGAAAATTGCATGAAAGTCAGGCTGGTCGTAACGAAAACCCTGAACTTTGGGGGCAATCAAAATCCGCGAACTGACAGGCAATTCCACCAGCGTGAAAGCCTTCCCGAAAACTCCTAAGCGGTGTTCCTTTCGCGAACGAAGAGCACGATTTTCAAATCCGCGAAGGCAAGGGCATTTTCCACACCCGCGAAAAAGCATAATTACGCGCTTTTACGGACGCATGGGCGACGCATGGGCGAAAACCATACCTGCGAGAATACACACGCGATGTTCCACCCGCGAAAAGGAATCCATGAACACATTCGCAATGTTCCACCCGCAAAAAATTTCCACGCAGTGGCATCGTGGGAAAAATTGCCCTTGCCTTCGCAGATGTGAACAGTCCGTGCAGAACACCCGCGAAAAAAAACACACGGTGTGTTGCAGCGAAAAAATCACATGTCCCTAATATTTGGGGTAGCACCTGCTTATGCTTTCAAGGTTGCGTGGCACAAGAGTTTCTGGGCGAAACGTTCATTTCGCGCCTAGAGCGTGAAACAATGCTTGTGCAGACGCGAGCGTGAATCGGAAGTTTTGCTTGTTTTCGCATACCACTACTCTGTGATACACGAAAGTTTTGAAACACACAAGATTCCCTACCCCACGTTCGTGCAAACTGCTTCACGAAAAAACAAAAAAAAAAAAAAAAAAAACAACTGCAGACAAACGGTGCCAGCACACCACAAGGCGCGAATAGTATCGTACGCATTTGAAGAAGCTGAAGGGCCCGGTGGAATAGTTAACAAAACCACGCGTTTGGTTTCGCATGTTTGATTAAAACCGCGAAATTGCTTGCGATTTCCCAACCGTGTGGTCGCGGAAACGAATGTAGGATTAGTAATCTTGGAATGAAATATCCTTCGCGTTAATCAAGGGCTTTAAAGTAGTGAAAGAAGAGGCCCGCGTGACCTCACTCGCTTTTAGATAACTCCGCGAACGCACGGGCGATTTTCCTCCCTCGGTTTGGAAACCTGTCAATTTTCGGGCTTCTGGCGAAAATTCCAGGGCATGAACACAGGGAAAGCCGTCGGAATTCCTTTAACACCCCGTCAACGCACAGATCCGTACAAGCAAAGGAGAGTTGAAATACCCCTCTGTTTTCACGGGCGCGAAAATAAAGAGGAAATACCCAATAGCAAAAACGCAAAAAAAAACATGGCAAATCAGCAACTCTGCTCGTGACACAATGATTTTTTTGAACACGCAAAAAATCCAAGACCTCACCCCCGTTTTGCCACCAAAAGCGAAGCAATCTTCCCGTAATCCCGAAGTTTGGAGCAGCCTTATTTTTTAGGCGCGAACAGTGCTATAACCGCGAGTGGGGATGAGTTTCGCAGACATAGAATGTTGATTTTTTCTCACACGAATTTCTGCTTTCCGATTTCACGCCTCTCGTATGCAGCTTCGCCGGGTACCCCTTCGCGTTCGCGGGCGCGAAATACCCTGCCCGCCGAATTCTCGCCAAAACGTGACACGAAAATAGCGCTCGTCCCTTGAATTCTGGCGCTAAATACCCTGCCCCGGCGTTCCCTACGCCACGTGCCACGTACCACACTGAATTCGTGTGTGTCAAACAATTTCAGTTTACGATATTTTTTTCTCTGCCTTGATGGATATGTTACCTATCCTTTCGTAACGAATTTCCTGTCTTGATGGTTTTAATGCATTTCCGTTCGTAATGAATTTCCCTTTTCTTTCGTAACGAGTTTCGCATACGCGAGTGTAGGGAATTCAGAATTTCCGGGTAACCCGGCCCACTGAGAGCTGAGTCAGCCAGGTCCCCACCGAGCTGCGTCATTCAGTTCGGAGCTGAGTCAGGGGGTGGTCCCCACGGGCAGCCGAGGCCCGGCGTCCCGGTCAGGCTCCGAAGGGCCGGGCGTCGAATTCCTCGCCAGGAGGGTCGGGCGAGGCGGGCGGGTGACAGGGCGGTTCCAGGCTGGCCCCGCTCGCGTGCCCGGGGTGACGACGGCGAGGGCATCGGGCCCCCTCGCGGCCTTTCCTTCGCGCTGAATCGGACACCCTCAGCCCGAATAGAGCAGCGAAATCGTATCGGCCGCGGAACGATTTGACTTAGTCAACGCCGGAACACGACGACCCCACGTCGTCGGATCACGACAAGGGGATCGCTCGGGTTTGCCGACCCCATGGAAGTCGACAAATTCGACATGAAGTCACGTCTGGCAAAAAACAAAACGAATTGCGATTTTTGCGGCGGAAACGAACATCGGATTGTCGACTGTTTTCACATGAAATCTGCACGTGCGGCCTTCCGAGCTCGAGGGGGTGGCGAAACGAAAGACGTAAAGTCCAAAAACGGATCTCGCCAGTGATTGCGGATCGTGCTGGCGAGGAAAAACAGATCCTACAGCGTCAGCACAATCTTGACCAAATCGAAATTGAAGGATAGAATTGGGCGCGAGATTCGGAGTTTCCAGGTCGAAATCCCAAGCCCCTGGACCGAAATTTGTCAGAGGGATTCGCCGAGGAAAAGAAAACCTCCGCGAAAACAGACTCGACCAAGACGGGAACTCTCCAATTCGACCCCGAAAAAAAAAAAAACAGAATTCGTTAAAGTTATCTTTCAAAGATGCTTTAATGAAGACTGGTGATTTTCGCGGGTTCGGAGCCATCAAAAAATTCCGGGAAGAACTCCAGAGGAAGAAGATAATTAAATAAGTGGTACCGGTGCCTACGGAGCTGGGTAAAAAAATTAAGGAGTGTGGAAAGGAGCAGGTCTTTTCACGGCGTCAACGTCCTCTCCCGGAACCAGCCCCCAGGGAAGAAGTCTATGGAGCTGAAGCAGCTGAGGAGGCAGCTGGGAGTTGAAATGAAGCTGCGAAAACTCCAAAAACCCCTCCAGGATGCATCCAGTGGATCGCAGGCGTCGACCGGATCCACCCCCTCAGGGTCAACCACCACGGTGACTACCTCTACTCCTGGCGTTGGAGAGGAGCCTTTCTCCACGCAGCCCAGGCCAGCTGTTAGTCCAGGAGCAAGCAGTGGAACCACGGTGTGTACTGAATATTGGGATGTACCCTATGATCCTATTAATGAAACTATTTTTGGGTACTCCGAGCAACGCTCACCACTCCTGCTCGAG